CCCCAAAACCCCAAAACCCCAAAACCCCAAAACCCCAAAACCCCTAATTATTTATTTTGATTGAGACTTTTTGGGGAAACGTATGGTCAATCCTAAGGTAACTTATCAGCATTATACGTATTCTATAGCAGTCTTCTATGCTCTAAATAATGTAGTATTTTTACATCTTTTAATGGAGAGCATTATTAGCTTATTTAATTAGTAACTATTATTCATCAATCTAATGGTCACAAACCTCCTATCAAAGTTGACATTTGTTTAAACCACAAGAAATCTCCTTGGAATGTTTCCATACTAAATTTAATGCTTTCCAAAGCGGTTGTTGATTGAATGGGCTCTTCTAGCTGAGAGTTCAAAAAGAGAAGGTATTTGGTAAAAATTATACTAAGCAGATCTTAATAGTTTGGGAAGGGATCTACTCCGTTCATGCAGGGCTCTATGCGGCCAACACTTTTGGGCTGGATTCATCTAACCTACAGTGATTAGCATCATAGCTGGAGTAAGCTAGAGCTTACCATTAGGACTGTTTGCGTCATATATTCTCATGAGGTATCTTAGAACTGGCAAGTTATTGATCTCTTTGAAGTTGGATTCTTGCCCCTTCGTATCCACGCTGAAACTGATCTGTTTTGGCTCAATTTTCTTTAAAACATGCGTCTGAGGAAGGGAATATTCTTGCATCTGGTTGATTTTCTGAGCAGCTTTGCATATTCTCTTTTTGATGTTCTGAATCTTTGATTCATTTAAAATGTGTCTATTATATCCCTTACACTTGTCACACAAGCAGTCACAGGAAACATTGTTTTTCTCAAATTCCTTGCTGAAGTCTGTGGTCAGGTAAGTGCCGAACTTTTGAGGGGGCTTGCTGTGGATTTCTCAGTCTCAAGGGATCTTTGTCCTAGGAGAGGCTACACTGTGACTTCAGTTTGAAGCTATGTCATCCCGCGTGCTATAAGGTCTGTTAGGCAAAGTCATCATAGATGAATTCTGCAGTGAGACAAATCACAAGGTTTTACATTTCAATAATCCTTTCAAGGGAAATTGATCAGAATAACCACAAGAGCAGCCATCTAGCCATGATCGACGAAGATCGTATGAATGCAGTGTTTGAGAAAAGATTGATTTAATTTTTAGTTTTAACAGTAAATGGTTACTAGTCCTAAAGGGCTGATGAATTATTCTAACAGAAAATTTATTTCAGGCAGTCTTTTGAGACATTTTCTCACAATGGCATAAAACTAAACAACTTGTGCTACTAGTTTAATTCTTTCTAGCGAGTTTGGGAAGCTTCAAACACGAATTTTAACTTGGATACAGTGCTCTCATACTTGATAATCTAAAAGCTTTTTGGATAGAAAAGTTGTAAAAGTGGTTCAAAACCTTACAATATTGCTAAGGAATGATACCAAGCATCAAAGAGAGCTTATCTTATGGATATTCTTATTTTCCAGCTCGCTTAGGTATTTCTCCAGATAATTTTGAACAAAAACATAAAAGATCGGGTTCCGTTACAGCAACGCAAGGATGCTTTTTCAAAAATATCGGAGAAATATGCTAAGTGGAAGGGAGTACTTTTTACTACACTTGCTAAAGATTTATTCCTATTGGTGATAACAACACATGCAGAACTATTCTCTAGTAGGACTAAGATGAATTATTAGATCTTAAAAATGCCTGAAATTGGGGGAAATCATAACCCGCTAGATTGTCATTTCGTTCTTCGTGAATCTAACAATTGAAAGATAGAAACAAGGATAATTTTTGAATAAATTCTTGCGATATCAGAGCCTAGTAGCTCCAGAATGTATTTAAATAGACCCATGCCAGATAGCCTCGACTTTGACTCATCCAAAACTGTGCTTACCTCCTGATGAAATCTAGGGCATCTCTGGTATGATGCTTCTTCTCAATCTTAATGAAGTATTTCTGGGCATGGCTTCGGATCTGAGTACTGTTCCTTGTAGGCACATATTTTTCAAGTTTCTTCCAATTCTTGCCTCATATCTTCAGGCCTACAGATGTCAGGTTTAACTTTGGAGATAGATTGGCCAAAAGGTAGGAAAGGAAGGATTTTTATCCAACAAAAATGAAAGAAAAATTACCATCTACAAAGAGACGGTGTTCTTCGTCAGTCCAACGACCCTGAGTGGAGCTATCCCTGTTTCTTTTCCGCTTGCTTCTCTTCCTTGAGGTCACCTCCATACTTGAGTTGTTATCACTGTACATAGCGCTTTGGGCTGAATTGGCCGGATCTGAGTCAGGAGGGGAAGAGATATTAGCAGTGTTAGTTGACTTTCTGTTCATTTTACTGTGTGAATCTGTATGAAGAAATAAACATCTTAAGTTGGCAACCAATTTACCTGTAAGAATATTTTTAAATAAATTCTATTTGCGTAAGTTCTATAAGAATTCTTAAACAAGGGGTTTTGGGGTTTTGGGGTTTTGGGGTTTTGGGGTTTTGGGG